CCCCAAAACCCCAAAACCCCAAAACCCCATGATGTTAGAATTGAGGATCTTTAGGTAATTATGAAATAAAGATTAATCAATAAAATAATAATCATTAGTTAAATGATAAGGTGAGATTTTATTATCTCACTCATTTACTTGCTATTGAGAAGTTTTTCTGATGACTTATCCTTTGAAACCTGATCTTTCAAGATCTTTAGAAAGTGCTCTTGGAGGTGGTACTACTTTTGGCTTAATAACAGAATTTGAGTATTACTATCTTTGATCCTTCTATTCACTTTGTGAGAGTGTTGTGGCTCCATCCTAAGTAATATTGCTTATATTATGAACTCTATTGTTTACTTGATTCTAAACGAAACTTTGATTATGTATCTAGCTAGGATTCGTAATCTGTGTTTGTAACTAAGAGCCGCTTATTAGGTTAGGATTTGAGCTTAGACCTAGCTTTTACTGTAAATAATTCTACTATGTTGTTCCTTTTATTTGAAGATTACGACTAAAAACGTCTTTACTTTCAATTTTAATGTCATTTAGGTTTTCTTGGCTTGTCTACATTAATTAGATTCCTTGGAAATTTTTGGAATTAAAATTAATCTAATTTCCTCCATTGTTCAAGCTTGAGAATACATTTTCACTCTTTTCCTGCTGCTTTTGCTTATGAATTGAGTAGGTTTTCTTGACTTAGTTCGATTGAGCTAGCTTTGGATCATAAACAGGAGTCAGTTTTCCATAGATTGATGATGTATGAGATTCAAACTCAAAATTCAGCTTATTAGGAGTCTTCGGCGGTGAGTATTCTTCTCCAAGCTCATTGCCTCTTCTCTGCTTATTTTAGAAAATGTTAGAGACACCCGCCATTTTGGCAATTCTATCTCTCTCATTGAAGCTATTGTTACCTCTATTTTAACTCATATATTACTACTTTCTCTTATTATATGCAACATCAAATTATGGATCTCTCCTAGATGATTCAATGAATGATTGATTCGCTTTTTCCATTGCGTTATTTTAGAATTATGTTCCAGTAAAGGCCCCATTGCTGCCTGCCAATACTACAGACAAGTTGACCTACTAAGCAGTGTAGTAGGGATTTTCTAAAGACGAATTTAGCTCGTTCACTACCTATTATTGAACAATTGTACTCTACTTATTGTTTGATGAGAAATCCTTTTTCAGCTTAAATCTAGATGAATTGTTTCCAGAGTTTCTTGAGTACTCAATCTTGCTTGTTGTGGCTATTATGCTTGACTTCACGCTATTTTAAGTATTTGTATATTCATGCTCCTCTTTTTCGTCTTCTTTTATAGTTGTAGGATTTCTCTTATCAATTACTTAAGCTTATTTCTTTTAGTAGCTGCTACCTATTCCAAGGTTTTATGCACCTATCTTGTCATAATTATTATTTCTCGATGACTCTGTCACTTCATTATCAAAATAAGACTCATTTGTTTCTTCTCTTCTTGAAGTATCTATCTGGCTGGGTTAAAATCTGGTTTGATATTGAGTCTATAGTAACAGTCTATCGTTTTCCTCTTTAAAGCTCTTACAAATTTCAATCAAATTTTTGCATTTATCTTTCCAAACATCAATTGCAGTTTGATCTTGTCCTTCTATTAAGAATAATTCATGTCTTAGAGTTTCAAGTTTAGATATCGCCTCTGACTTCATTTTCACCTCATTTTCATACTTCTTCTTAAAGTGAGTCATTTCTAAAGCTTTGACTCTTTCAAGTTGTATAAATTAGGCTTCTTGAACTTTTTCTTTGGATTTGAGTTCATGGATCTTCTCCTCCTTTGCCTCTAATAAGTTCAACACCTTTGGTAAATTTAGATTTTGCAGAACTTCAAACTCTCTAGCTTTAGATTCCAATTCATCTAATCTCTTAGATTTAGTTTGCTTGTACTAGATTAATTTCTGTTTCTCCCCTCTTTCACGCTTTAACTCATCTTTAAGTTGCTCTATAATCTTCTCTTATGTAACTATCTCTTATTATGACTATTCTAATTCCTTCTTAAGTATTTTCTCTCTCTTCTCACCCTCAGCAAGTTACTCCCAGAGAAGAGTATTCGAGTTTAGTTGATCTCTTAGATTGTCTAGCTTATTTTCGTACTGTTACTTCATCAATACTGTCTTAAATCTATCAAATATTCTCATTTTTCTAATCACTTCTTATAACTTAACAATCTCGTGTCTTGCTTCACCTTCACTTTGCTTCAGCACTTCATACTCTCTCATCATTCTCTAGAAGTAGTTATTATCCCCTTAGGATATGATATCGGCACTCAAACTATTGCTAGTAGTTATATTTTTGATAGTTAGATTGTTAATATTTATGGTGGTACTGTTCAAGCTCTGATTCACAGATGTGTTTTTAGATAAATCCTTGAACATGTCAGCTTTATTCTTCATAAGTGTGTCTATATTATTTACATTTTCCCTAACATCAGCCATTACTCTTGCATTTACATTCATTTAGAAGTCTGCGAATTTCCTTTTGCATTCATCAAGCTCTAATGTCCTTTGATTGAGTTCCCGATCGAATTCTAGTCTTATTTTATCTGAAAGTTTCTTTTCCATTTCATAGATGTTATCTTTTATCATTCTTAGCTGTCTGGTGCAGGTATCAAGTTCATAGACCAATTGATTACCCTTACTGAATACTTTGGTTCTTATAATCTTATCTAATTCTCTTTTTGCATGTTTCAGCTTTTCCTCCATGTTTAAGAGTTGTCTGTCTTTTATATAGATCATATTCTCGTATTGAATTTGTTGCATAGCGAATGTTTCACATCTTGTCCTCATTTCTACTTCTCCTTATTTTACTATTGCTCTGCAAGCTTCATCTAAGCATTCATTTAAATCTTTCTAAGAAATAACCATTCCTAAGCCTGAGGTGATTGTTTCAATTTCTAGGCATCTGTTCTTTATTTAAGTTAAGAATCTTTAAGCGAAGCTCACTTTGTTTATAATGTCTAAATGATTCCTTTTATCAACTTTCTAATCTCTTGTGCTAGCAAATTATTGGCATGGATGAACATAGAATTCGAGAAGTTTTCCATTCACTTCGAAAGCTCTGCAGAGAGCACTAGTCTCCATATCAAGCATTTTATAAGATGCGCTTATTAAGAATCTTTGAACCTCATTAGACAGAATTTCTATCTCAACTTAGGAAAGCTCTAACTAGGTCAGAACATTTGAAACCATTTAATCCTATTTTCTTAAAGATTGATTTATAGTGTTTGCATCGATAGATTATTTCTACTGTTGATTTCTTCTTTGTTATTCCTACTCCTGCCTTTTAATCTTATTTATTTGATATTCATCCCATCGTGTATTAATTTTCCACTAGACATCCTCTTGAAACACTTGCTGCAGTCTTTGATTCTCATCTAAATCAATGGGTAGTGGTTTATTACCTAATAGAATCATCACTATTCTCCTCAGCTACCTTGACTTCAGTAAAGTCTTTAAGTATTATTTCTTCTCAAATAGTAAGTCGAAGTATTGATTCAAATTTCCTATGAACGTAGTATCATCATGGTTGAATTTAATCTTTAAATATTCCTTGAGCTAGTTATCTACTGATATCAAATTGTTGTAAACGTATTTCCTCACTGATTTATCAACGTTTATCATTGAATAGTCCATATATTAGTAATCTCTTCCATGAATTTTGCCCATATATGTTTTACTCTTTTTGAAAGAATGCAAAATATTGCAATTCTACCCAAACATCTGATCAATAAGTGTAAATTAGGATGGGGCTAAGGCGTTCTCATCAATAATTGGCTATGATGATCTTGCCCACTAAGTGAAATCTGGATTAGTACAATTTTCATCGAGATTCAGGAATTAAGTCTTAGTCAGTGCTGTATTTACATGATAACCGTTTGTGTATGTCACTTTAATATCATCCACATGAGATAGATTTTTGAGTAGTTCATTTATTGAAAGTAGCTCTTTTTTAGCATTAAAATCAGTCTCTTTAAGATAAAAATCTTGAACAGCACTAAAACTTGATACTAATCCATAGTAGCTTAAATGCGCCTAATCATTCAAATATTCAGCTGCTTTTTCTATATCATCATTTAATTCTAACTTATTCATCATTAATTCCATCTCATTAAACTTATCCTTTACTGATTCTAGCTCTTAGTGCAAAGTTAGTTTATTTTTCTTTTCTGCAGCAATTCTTTCAACCACATATTTTGATAACTCATTCTTATATCCTATATTCTAAACAACGTTAGATTTCTTCTGATTCAAATCTTTATCTCGCTTTGGACTGCCAATATCCTCATCCTCTTCATTGTTTTGATTAGAATTGTCAAAGAGAGCATCGTCTCCTTCTTCCCAAAAGGGCAATCCACAAAGTACATTTCTCTCTAATGAAGCTAATGTTTATGCATTAGATGCGATTTTGTTTTGGAATAACTCAAGATCCAGTAGATTCTGCAAACTTTTGAAATACTTTACTATGCTTTATAAATGTGGTGAAATCTATTGGCCATTCTAATAGTTAGTTGTATAATTTGGATGATACTAATAGGAATAGGAATTTTGAAACTCTACAAATCTTTGCTTTTCCTTATATATATTTTCTAAATCTTTGCTCTCATAGTGTATCATTTTTGTCAATCTCTGCTGTAAAATCTTGTGCTGATTATTTTTCTTGAAATTAGGAATAAGTTTTTTCTTATTAACAGAGGTAAGATCTATGTCAAATTGATATAGGTGTTTTAAATCTAGTTATCTAACTTGATCATATGTAGATGGAAGCCTTAATATCTCTTTATTAGATGGTAACTTCCAGTATTTTTTTATCTTTCTCTTAGATTTATCTAGAAATTTGAGTTACTTGATACCTTGATTCTAATTCTCTTATTAGTAATTTACGCACTAAAATTCTCCATATTCGCCTGGGCCTATTTCAATAAACAAGGATTCTTTCGGAAGTAAGTAGGCTCTCTTCCTTATTTGGTCACAGTCAAGAAGTAATTGTAACTTGATCGCATCACCATACACATCTGCAAGAACATCAGTGCAGTAATCCTAGCAGAGGGATAGTCTAAACGTTCTTAGCTTTCTAAATTGAATCTCATGTTTTTCCTGAGAAGGAGATATTTCAATTCTATACTTTTAAAAATGCTTTTCAACAGCATTTCTATTTCTATTTTTTCTTGCTATAATATTGAAGAACACTTCCCCAATTCTGCTTGAAATTTTAGCGAGTACCATTGATCTTTCTCCAACATGAAGCTTCTTTAGATTTTACTCCAATAGATTAGAGCCACTAAGCTTAATGAAATAATCAAATACAGGGTTAGCCACAACTACACCTTTAGCAAAAAGTTCAAGCTCTGTAAGATATCTCTGACTATTATCCAATAAAATTTAATTAGTTTGAGTAGCTACTATTAATGCCTATAAGTTCATAAGTTCATAGGATACTACTGTTCTGAGTTCTTCGAGACCAAGGGGACAGATCATCTACTTAAATGAATCAGGGTCTGAGAAATTGATTTATGATCTTAGCGTGGGATCAAATTCATTAATAGCTAAGTCCATTTCAATGCCAGAACTGGGTCCTTCATCAACGAAATTTATGTAATTCTTCTCGCTTAATTCAATGAAGTTCTCAAAATTGAATTGATCTTTGAAGTATATCCTGCCATCCTTGCTAAATAGTTTAACCTGTCTCTCATATACTCTCTCTAGTATCTTTTTTTAAGTAACAGCTAAAACTAGTATGTGTCTTAGCCTCAGCATTTCAATTGAGTTGCAAGTAAGATAAAGCATTGATGGAATGAATACCTTCTAGGCTCGAGTTTTGAGTTTTGGGTAAAACCTATAGGCATGATGAGTTGTGATTTTTCTTCCTTTGTTCTGTGACTCTTAGAAAAGTGATCCATTCGCTGCAGCTACTTAATTCTCTATGATTAGCTTTTGGAAATTTTCAAACTAGAAATTTTCAATAGTTTTGAGGTTCATTTTAGTCAAGATATAAGGATTGTGAGAAGTTAGTTCATCTTCAGCTGCTGCCACGAACTCTTTTGTGTAAAACAGCATTTTATCGGAATTGCCTAGAATGCTATCATCCTCTATATAATTCATGCCAAGAGGTGGATCGATGCTAAGTGTCCTCTCACCTTTAACTACTTTTAGTTCAGCAAGAAAATATCTATAGGTTGATATCTCCAGAGCTGTGGTCATTAGCCCATTGTCAGGTCTGTGTATCTCATTTAATTCCTAGAATGCACCTTGCATGGCGGCAACTACCTTAACTATCATATGCATGGATTCATAAAAGTCAAGAATGCCTATTCTCTGTGAATCTTTGGTAAATGAAAGAGTGTTATTCTGCTTGGTGGCCATGTCATACATAAATATCGGGTAGCCCTCTTCAATTCTGAAATTAAGATAAGTTTATGAAATCAATGTATTTATTACTTGATGAAGGATACATGCTCATGAATAGATTGCTTAACTAAGGGATCTCTTTCTTTATAGTCTTTCATCAGCATTTAAAGGGAAGCAAACGGTATGCCAAGATAATTTGCAAATTCTCTAGGGTCTGAAAACTTGGCTGAAAACACTTAAGTTTTCTAATCAGTCAGGTTCTCAACTGAACTCCTTCTCTGCTAGCTCTCCTTCATGGTATCTTAGGTTTAAATAGAATCCTATGCCATAGTCTCTGAAGGCTGATGCTCCTCAACGATACCCTTTTCTATAGAATAATATTAGTTAAGGCAATGATCACAACTTACAAAGATTTTCTCTTGCTCTAATTTCCTAATCCAAAGTTTCTGGTCTTTGATATTGGAACTTGTTTTCAACCATTTCCATGATTACTCTATAGGTTCTTTCCAGATATTCCCTGATGAAATTGTTCTGCTTGAATTCACTCTCCATTTGCATCCTTATCACTTCCCTAATAAGCTGCTTTTACAACTAGAAGTTTTCTATTTCTGCTCTATAAGAGTCCTTAAAATGAAGACCATTTAGGTTTAACTTTGGCCTCAATGCCATTAGATCTATAATGACTTAGACCATTCTTTACTATTCCAAAGTGTCTGTGGTATGTTCAAAGCACTCTAGATATGTTAAAGCTAACTCAAGTTTCGCTCTTTAAAATGCCAGCTCACATTCGAATACATCATCAAGAATTTCAAATCTATCAACAGATGGGTAGATGTATCTCAAATCATGATCTAGCAAAGGTTCTCTCTTTTGAATGTAGAAAGAGCATATCTTCAAGACCTCCTATTCAAGATTTTTCATATCCAAAAACGAAGCATCAAACATTATATGTATTCCAAAGTCATCCTTGACAAAATAGAAATCTGCTTTTTCGTCGTAGTAAATATCATCTACTCTACCGAGTAGTCTTAGTCCCTCCTCTTTCTTATTGTCTGCTTTTTTGTGATTCTCCACCTCCGCAGATATTTCCTGTCTATCCAAGGGCTCTCCAAATGTGGAATGGAATCTTGGAATAATTGGACAAGTAGAGTAAATATAGTTTTGGAATCTCCCATTAAACTTTACCTTTTAAATATCTACGAGATGATCGTTGATGATATCAACTTCGTCCTTGTCGGTAGCATTCTGATCATTGACTTTATTTAAAAGTTTAGATTTTTCTGGCTTAATTACTTTAGATGCCTATGACTCCAAGTTTTCAGAGGAGACACTGTTTTTTTATTAAGATAAATCCTCTGCTTTCTCATCTTATCCAAATTGGTCTTTCCCTTGTTCCATCGGACTTACAAACATTACATCTCCCATAACTCTATCACGAGTACCCATCTCTCTCAGCTCAATGACCATTCTCTTTTAAATTGCCCTGAATGCATTCAATACATAGAGCAGTTTAATCTTAGAATCTCTAGCTTTTATGTACTTCAACATGTAAAGTGAGAAGAGCAAATGCTGAGGAACTTGTAATATACTAGTATTCTATAGTGGCTCTGGATCAGAAATGTCCTCATACTCAGATTTGGTTTTTAGACAACCTTTAAATATCGATAAAAAGGAGACTTCTCCCTCAGTAAATACATGAGCTTCATCTATTTTATCTACTCTATCCTACTCTTTTACAAAAGCGTTCTAAAGCAGGAAGTCTGCTTTAATGTCACCATGGATCAATTTATCATGATGAATGGTTGAAAGACTTTCGAGGATCAGATTAACATTAGTAACATCCTGGACATTTATTAGATCTAGAGATAGTCTTAAACACTCATCTATTGGATTTTACTCTCCTGCTAATATGGCTGCCTGATACTTTTAATCATTGTTGATAGTTGGTTGATAGCAAACATACAAAACCCATAAACTTTTTTTCATTCTAACAGAAGGGAAATCTTTAATCTGGCCTGAGTTAAATTCTCCAAATAACGCTTTTTCTACTGAATTAATGAACTCAGTGTGGAGTTACTCCTCTTTTTGTTTGATTTCAAGCTTTTCCAAGAGAGTGTTTCTACCTGTCACTGTGTTACCATACTTTCTTCTGTTGCTATTAAGCACTGATTAAATATTTTTTTAAGCCAAACTAGTTGGATCTATTAAAGCTGGAACAGCATCATAGATTGCAAATTAGCTCTTAATAACTTGAGAGTGGAAGTAAGTAGGGAAGAAGACCATAATGCTGTAGGCGAATGAATGCCCACTGTCTATTTCTAAGTCTCCATGAATGCCATAGACAGCACTTCTTGAGCTTAGTTAAGATTTCAACTCTAAGTCATTCCACACTATCAAATTCGGAGACTCATAGTTATACTTGCAAGTGTTTATGTATTTGTCTCTCAGATTCTAGTTCCTTTTATCTAGTTTGGTTGCATATTGTGATTATAAGATGTGATGAAGTTCTTTTTACCCCTATACTCCTAGTTTTCGAAATTGTATTAGAGCTTATCCCTTATGCTCGATTTACTTAGTATAGACCCTTTATTTCTCGATATTTTCAGCCTTAATCTTTTGGAAATACTCAATAGACTCTTGAAAAATTTCATATCTATTAGACATTGGAGTCCACTTCACTCTCTGAATGAATTTCTCAGCATCTTTGTTTATTTTTTCCTCGTAAGTAACTATCCTCAAATATACATCCAAATCATCCAATCTTAGTGTGCTCAAAGGAGTCTATTAAGTTATTAAATAATAATGAAGCATTACCATTTTTTCATCTTAATCATCCCTCGGCTTCTCAGCTGATGTTTAAGGTCTGTTAGTATTCAGAAAGTGATCTTCTCCTTCTAGTCTAGAATATCTCTTCACAGAGTTTTCCAGTTCAAATTGTAACTTTGAGTAAATAGGACTAAATTTCAGAGACACTTTATCCACTAACTCTGAAGTCAATGCATGATGTGCCCATCTCTGCATCAACTTGTACTTTTTATGCTAAAGTTTATACTATCTTCTCTTATAGAAATTAGCCAATTCAATTTTTGTCAAGTATGGATTACTTTTGTCTTAAATCTAAGTGATATAATCCTAATCGAATAAATTAGAATTTGAAATATGATTACTCTATGGAGATCATCAGCAAATAAAGTAAAAGGCTCGGGTGCTGGGGGATTCTAAACCATTTTAACGAAATCATTTCTGAATTGATTTTATTTTCTAGGTTCTTCCAAAAATACACTTTAAGGCTTTAGATAAAATACTCTCTTATCTCCCTTATCTAATGATTTAACTTAGAGCAAGTCTTACCAATTTATTAAGTGTTTATTAGGCATCTATCTGCTAGATCCTTATATGTCATATATTTCTCAGAAAGCATAAGATGCATGTCCTCTACTCTCTCGTTGTTAGACTTAACTTTTATGTTAGACATTTTTCAGTTTAATAAATTATTATATGTTTAATTGTAACAGTCTTTAATCATTCTAGTAAAAACTGTGAATAAATTAATTTTAATGCCTATAATCTAATTAAATTATTATAAATTTCATTCCTTTGCTTCTTATCCTCACATCATGTATTGAAGGTTGTTGGCTGCCTCATCAAGCTCTTGCTTCTTTTAATCATTTGTCCATTTTTTTTCTTTAGCCATAATTTCTACTACTTCAGTTAGAATTTCCCTGCATATTTATTCATTCAAGAATCCAATAGGCACTCTTCTGCAAAGTATATCATTTGGCTTCTAAGCCATCTCACTCCTGATTGCATAAAGAATCTCAGATTTTAGGAATGGGTAGTTCTCGTGAATACGAACGTTCATTTAATTTTCTTTCCCTAGTCTAGCAACTCTAAGGGCTGCTGTGCCATAAGAGTGAAACAAATGCTGTGCAAATTTTCTATCAATGCCATATTCAAACACTAAATGGTCCTCATATTGCTCCTTAATTTATTGATCTGATTGAATGATGCCTTCTGAGACTTATAGTGCCGTGTAACTACCAGCTAACTTAAATTTAGTTGTAACTGATTTCTCGTAAGCTACATCTAAGCGCTGTCTATTGCTATTTATGATCAAGTCAACTGTTTCTTCTCCCATTTTTCTAAAAGAAGTCCACTTTCCTCCCATCAATGATACCATCCCACTAGCACTCTTCTCAATAACATGATTTCTTGAAAGTGCTGCAGTTGAACCTTTAGGTGCTCCATGAATTAAATGGCCTAGTCTGATAATCTATCTCTTGAAAATAGATTTTACAGAGGAAAACATTCCTGTATTTAGCTCCTGCTCTTTTAAAATTTATTGTTGCTTATCTTCCTCAGTTTCAACAACTAAAGGTCTAATACCAGACCAAGCACTGATCATGTTCTTTTTATAGTCAAAATTGTCACCAAATATCTATTTTAACTCGCTCACAATAAACTCAATGTCCTATTCTATTGGTTTAGGAGTATGTGTAATTTCACATTTATCATCAGTTGTACCTACCATTGCATGTCCTAGGTAGTTTATGATAAAAATCAATCTACCATCCTTAGTCTTAGGAATTATAATTCCTGAATTTTCAGGTAGTAGTCCCTGAGAGAACATTAAATGAGTGCCTCTGGCTCCTGTTATTCGTTATTTTGCCTCCTTATTATCTTTTATTCTGAGTTCATCAGCATAAATTCCTGCGCAATTCACTAATACTTTGCATTTTACCTTAAATTACTTCTATTTTAAAGTATCATTTAAAATTGCTCCAGTAATTTAGCCATTTTCATTTTTAATAAAGTCTACAAACTCTGTATAGTTAGCAAGATTTGCTCCTTTCATTCCAGGGATATACTTATCAATTGAGGCTGTGAGGAGGGCATTGAGATTCATTCTTGAATCCATCATTTGAGTTTCATATATAACTGTGCCGTATTATCCATGTATCGCTTTCAACTCTGAGAAAATATTCTTTACTTTCTATCTACCATAGATTCTTGGTCCCTGCAAGCCAGTATCGTAATTAGATTTCATTAATTATCTCAAATACATTAGATGGTAAAGTAAAGCACCAGGATAATAAAAGAATACAGACCAAAACCATGAACTAGAGGGAATTACCAATTAAAGTGGCTTATTTTAGAATGATGCTGCATATAAGAAATAGTTTCTTTCATGAAGAGTCTCCTTGAGGAGTTCAAAGTTCTCAAATGGATCACCATCTAATTTCATCATCTTCTCAAAATACCGGATACCTCCATGGGCCATCTTTGTTGATCTAGATGAAGTGCCTGAGGCAAAATCATATTTATCAACAACTGCACACTTTAAACCCCTTGATGCTGCTTCTAAAGCAACTCCTGCTCCGCTAGCACCGCCTCCTATGATAAGTAAGTCATATTCATTCTTCTCATCCATCATTTCCTTTAAATGCTCTTCCCTTGACTTTAAAACGAAAGCATACCTAGCTTTATGATGATAAGCAACATCTTTAAGATCTCTTTCAAATTCCGTCTTCATTATATTACCCATAAGGTCATCTTTGTTGAACTCACCCAGAGCCTCGCACTTAACGTTTCTAAAGAAAAAAGGCTATAAGGGTATATTATCGTATTTCCTAAAAGTATCACCAGCCTTGATGGCTAGAATTGATGCTAGAGAAACCTTTATTGACTTCCTTAGTAAACTTGTCATTAATTTTATTTATTACTCTATTAATAATACCAACCATTAATTGAGCAACTATTGATTAAAATTATGCTTAATCACTTATTCTTCAAAATTTAAAACATAGGGGTTTTGGGGTTTTGGGGTTTTGGGGTTTTGGGG